AGGTTGAGCTACACAATAATTAGCAGTGGCACGAAAAGCTAGTCGGAGTACAAGTGAAGCATGATTACAACACTTCGCATGAATAACAAACGATCAACTCAATATATGATGCGAATCGAAAAGCCATACGCGTACGAATCACATAAAACAGCGACCATCGTTTTAGCTGCAATACAATGGCTGTTGGTTCAACATATTTCATCTATTGGCAAAGGAAACATTCCCTAATTTGCAAAAATGATGGCAGTTTCAAGACTCGGTATTCACGTCAATTGAATTTTTTGTTCATTGAGAATATTTCACAACCGATGCATTCAGAAGTTTTTTCATGCAAATTATCGTTAAGAAATGCATGCTTTGTCTGTTTTTACGGACAATTCTTTTGATCTTCTCACACGTTCATACCAATAGCATTGGTCCAATAATATTGTACTCCAATATTCACTGCGAATATTTTCAAAATGGTTAAGAAAAATATCATAGCAGTGGAATAAATTGAATTTTTTTCTTGAACACGCTTCGTACCTGCGGTAGAATTCGTCGAAATCGGCTGACTTTCATTTTATCACTTGATTGGTTAATTTTGATATTCTATTTTTAGTCTTGAGCTAAAGATTTGATTCTTTTTTTTAAATTTTTGTCTGTTTTCAAATTATAGCACAAAAAAAACTATCCAACGTAAAAATAACACTTGAAAAATTGATTATTTTTGGACTTTTTATTGACAATTGCGGTGGTCAACTAATGATCGTTTGTTGGAATTCGCTATTTCGACCATTAATTTCTATCTCCTTCAACTTAAGTTTCTTCAAAAGTTAACATTAAATTTCCAAATTCACAACGCAGCAACTTTGTGTTGCCTATTCCATGTGAATCTTCCGACGGACTGATACATAAATAAATTGTCTTAAAAGATGAGTTCACATCATTTTTGTAATAAATTTGATAAGATAGTAGTCCAATCGGTTGGTCCAAAAGGAGAAAAATATTCGGTTCGAATATTTTGAGTCGTATTTTCGTGCCATTTGTGACCAACAAGGTATTTATCAACCAATGGATTACACTCTTTGGGCTTGATTTGTAAACAATCACTCTCTCTCTATTGTGTCATCCTTTTGCGTCGTTCAAACCAGAAATACCTCCCAAATTTACTCTCGTCAAGAGATAATTCAGACGATGGAATTGCAAGTCACTCAATGTTGTGTCAATGAAGTGTAGATAAATCAATACCCAAAACGTCGACATGCAACAGTGATCAATATTGGTGTTTGGAACGTGTGACCTATTAGTGGACTTTGAACTGTGCCTATTCTATGAGACAATTGGTTTAATAATCGCTCACCGACCGACGGTCGTTTGTTTATTCTGCCAAGGAAAAGTGATTATCTCTTCATTTTTGACGAAGATGGAAAAGACAACATTTGAAAGTTATCTTTGAATGATAATAATCTAGGTTCTCATGAATTCAGCTATTCAAACATCAGTTTGTGTTTTTGCATAATTTTCATTATGAAGTAATGGTGTATGTTGGAAATGATAATGTCGGTCAGTCGCAAAATCGTCACACAATAAGTAAACAATTTTTTGACTTTTCGAACTGATTACGCATTAATTCGAGTTGCTTGGAAGAGGAAAAAAAAACAAAAGAGCATCTCATTATCAATTACATAGTCATATGGATCGGTCGATGCACCTAAAGTGCGCGATAACATTGCAATCATAGACTTGATATGAGTTCATCCGTTCAATGGAGGCCGTAGGATAGGCCACAGCGTAGAATTTGATGTGGCTCATTGACTGGTTTTTCATGATTTAAAATGACACTTCTTTCAAACATTAATGTGACAAATCATTGAGAAGTCATCTCGTTGCATACTCAAATTATAAAACACTTGCACGCAAATCAAAAGAAAATGCCATCTTTCGGTTTCATTGGATTTTATTAAATTTCAATTCAAATTCAAGTTTTTTATATTCAATATTTAGTTTTGCAATTAAAACGTATTGGATTTTACAATCTTTGTGATAAAGTGTTACAATGCATTGTAATTTCATTTCATGAAATGAACTTTTGGAATGTTATTTTCTTTTGTTTTTTGTTCTATTTCTTTCAGAAGATTCCTTCGATTGAGAAGTGTTTATAAGCTGTATATAACAATGAAACTAATACGCGACGATTCGTCACTTCTTCAAACCATGAACATTAGCGATGTGTCGATTGGCGTTGCCCTTTTGCGCAAAACGCTTTTTGCAGACCATGCATTGGAATAGATTGTCTCCAGTGTGATGACCTCGAATGTGTCGTTTTAAATTCGTTGCATTCATCACATAAGCTTGGCACAAGTAGCATTGATATTGACAGCGTCTGCGAAATGTGTCATGTGCACATTTTTCGTCTTCTTGCGTAAATCCTCGACGACACTTTGAACATTGGAATGGGAATCGATAGCGATGTGTTGCCAAGTGTCTGGTCAGATGACTATATTCGATGTAAAGTTTATTTCACATAGGTCGCATTCGAAGGGTCTTTTACCGGTGTGTTTGAAATGCATATGCTGTTCCATGCCATCGAAGCTCATCGACGTGAGATCGCAAGTGGCAAACCAGTGTTTGTTGCAACTTGAATGATGTAGAACAAACCGAACACTCGAATGGCCTTTTTTGGTTGTGAAATTTTTCACGGCTTTTTAAGTGAGATTTTGTTCTGAAATCTCTCGAACAAACATCGCAGTGGAAAGGTTTCTCACCAGCGTGAGTACGGATGTGCTTGTGCATCGTTAGATTTCCTTTTAATGATGAAGCAGGGCTTAAAATAAGAGTGAATCAAGTCCAAAATGGTGAATCAAAATTTAAAAATGTGAATCAAAATATGCCAAACGGTGAATTAAGAATTCACCGATAAAATATTAATTTGATATCTCTTTTTAAAAAAATTCGCGACATTCGAACGTCAAATATATTTGATGTGATAGATATTGCAGTTTCAACCGGTTTATTTGAATTTTGCCGCTCATTTACTTGATATGATCTCATTAATACAAAATATATTTGATAATAAAAAGAATTACATTGGTAATCCCGAACTTTTCCGTACCGTTGGCCTGCGTTGTCTGTAGGTACTTTTGGTTATTTTTTGTGAATTTTCTTCAAATAAAGGCAGCGAAAATATAATAATGAAAATAAAGTGAAAAATCGGTCTAATTAACTAAAACTTCGACAATTTTGTATGTGAGGTACCCGTAAACCGATTCCTATTGGCTTCAAACTTTCTGAGGTTTCATTTTTTGGAGAAAAAATAAGATTCTGAAAGTTTCATGTTGATCGCATTTGCAGAAGTTTGATTTTTTGTCCTCAATTTTTGTCGAAATTTTCTTGGAAAAAATTGAGGGCCAAAAACCTAACTTCTGCACATGCGATCAACATGAAACTTTCAGAATCTTATTTTTCCTCCAAAAAATGATACCACAGAAAGTTTGAAGCCAATCAGAATAGATTAACGGGTACCTCCCATACAAAATTGTCCAAAAATCGGTAATTTTAGTCAAAATTTCAAAAATTTTGTATGGGAGGTACCCGTAAATCGATTCCGATTGGTTTCAAACTTTCAGAATCTTATTTTTATCCCAAAAAATGAAATCCCAGAAAGTTTGAAGCCAATCGGAGTAGATTTACAGGTACCTCTCATACAAAAGTGTCAATTTTTTGAGGTTTTTTTTTAGGGAAAGTACCCCAGGATCAAATCGAAAATGGCTCATCTTTAACTAAGTTTATTGGATACAAAACTTTTGGAACTTTCAGATTTGGATTATCTCCATTATTTTTTGAGTTATCGTGTTTACAAACAGCTACGACAACGACGACAACGACGACGGCACACGAACGGAAAAGTGTCTCAAAAAGTGGTTTTCTACGCGTTTCATGAGTTTTTATGATGATCTAAGCTAATTTTGCGAAAAAAGTTTTCGGGACCAATTCCTATACTTTCCCTTGACACGTTGTGTACGGAAAAGTAATAATTGCCCAATTTTCAACCCAAATTCGGAACTGTTTGGAACAACAATAAATAAACGGAATTGCAATTTTTTTTTAATCGTTAACTTTCTTTCTTGATTTTTATGCCACTGTGGATTTTGAATTACCCCTCCCCCCCCCTTTCGATTTCAGAAAATGTGAATCAAAGAAAACCCTTATTTTAAGCTCTGTGATGAAGTGTAACTGCACAGATGACACTTGTGCTTCTTCGGATTTTCTTTGACCGATTTCTTTGTACCCACCTCTTTTGCTCTTCATCTTTCGACCAGCATGCTTCTTTCCTTTGCCATTCGATGAGGCTCTCTTTCCACTTTTGCCACGGTTCCTTTTTCTGGCCAATTCTGGAGCATTTGCATTCTGATCATCATGAGCACGTGATCTATTTCGGTTTGGACTTGCACTTGGCGATAGACTTTTCCTTTTTCACCTTTTTCTTTCCATTTTCAGCCTCCTCTTTCACACATTCCGGTACGAAATGAAAGTCCAACTCATCATCGATCTCACTCTCGCTTCTTTGTAAGAAATTGAGCAGAGCACAACTGTGCACCACTATTGTGTACTTGGTACACTGTACTGTTTGTTTTACATGAATACTACAAAATCCAATGACTTCTCATTTAAAATTTACAAATGTTCACATCGCTTCATTCACAAATTACAAGCGATAAGATATGAATTTCTCCGTCATTGCATCGAGCATACGAGGGAGAGATATGCCGAAAAAACGGTCAATGTCTGAAAACAGTCACATGGTTGCATAAGCGGCATAGTGGGAATGAAATCAGTTTCGTTTTACGTAGGAGGAGAATGAGTCTAATCATAGCAATGAGATCATCAATCAAGCAAGGGACATTTATCGGCTTGAATAATCACATCGTCAGTTACGCTGTTGGATTGAAGCAGAATCAAAGTGAATTTTGATAGCTCAAAAACCTGTCTTTAGTAGAATTGTTCTGTTGATTTCAAAGCTCATAAATTTCCTCAAGAAACGAGATCAACGCCTCGAAGAAAAAGTGTTGCCATGAACTTGTTTGGCAAAGGTGTTGGTATGAGTGGCAAATTGTTTCGTAGTCGTTCTGAGACGGAAGGAATGTCAAGGACATCTAGTCAAATATCAAAAATTAAGATGAATACATCTCCCATATTAAAATTGAACGTCAACTCTTTAAACAAATTGTTCGATTGGTTGACGTTAAAAGAGTTACACGCCTTAGCTCAAACGTGTCAACGATTTAAGGTGATTTGTGGTGCATACTACCTGTTAAACTATACGCCGAGTGCAGTGTGTATTGATGATGGAATTGTGGCGCATCGTCATCAATCGCGTGGTGTAACCTATGGTTATCAGTTAAATATATTCTGTCAATACATTGAGAAAATGATCATTCCGAGCGGATCACAAAATCAATTCCGTTATGCCGAAATGAATTGTGGCAAAGCCTTAACAGCCATTCGATTCGATGGTGTTGTGATGACCGAATCGAAAATCAAGTGCATCAAACGATTGTTAGCCAATGTGGAAGCCGTGGAAATTGTCGATTGCAAAATGTTCATCTATATCTATGAAGGTATTATCATCGATTGTGATCACTTGAGCATTTTGATGACAAAAAAAATAAAATGAATGAACTGTTTCCACTATTTTAGGATTTTTAAAGTACTGTCACAAGCTAAAGCGCTTAAAAATTCGGAATATTCAGTTCAACACATTCCTAAACAAGGACAAAGATTGGTTGCTTCGAAAATTTCCAACGCTCGAACATTTGGATTTCACCAAATGCAGCAGTATCAAACGAAGTGAATTGGAGGTACTTTTCAAACAGAATCCAAACATTCGCACCTTTGAACTGGATATGGATCAATTCTGGGAAAATAAAATGGTTTTCTTGGAGGCGTGCATCATGTGGAACGATTTGATTATTCATTTTCAAGACGCAAAAAACCCAATGACATCAACCATTTACAGTTTACTCAATACATTTTTCAATCGAGGCCATTTTAAACGGCTTCATTTGCGTTACAGTGAAGTTTTGAAGCAGCCGTTTATTGATCAAATTGCTTCATTGTATGCAGTCGACACGATACACATGAAGGAAGAAGCGGGCAGCTGGTTGCCATCATTGATCAATCTGAGGGAATTGTACACGTTTTGTGGAAAATTGAATATGGAGAAAACGGTTAGCAATCTGGCCAATCTTGAAAAAGTCGTCTTTTGGGAGGCAAATGTCGAAGATGTTCTAGCGATTGTTAGGAATTCGATGCGAATAAGGGAGATTAAAATTCGAACACTCAATGAGAAAGGACGGTTCAGTCCAAATTTTAATGGAAAGAATTTTTTCAATCAAAATCAACTGAATCTAACGGCTCTGAACGAGGAACGGAAGAAAATTCTCGGCGCCCGCAAAGTTTCCATTTTTGTGAATGAAGACATTTTTATTGCCACCAAATGGACTACCGGTGAAACCGTTCACAGTTTGATCGAACTTAAACGGGTCATGATGCACGAATGGAATGACCTTTTTCAAACATAATTTGATGGGCGGTGATTTTTTTGGGATTATTTATGCATTTGTTTGGTGTGACTCTGTTAAAAAATGCGTTCGGGCATGAAGTGAAGCATTTGCAATGCTTTAGTTATCTAATTGATTTGAGATTTTATTCATTTTAATAGAAAATTCATATTCTTTTTTATGAATTCGGTTTTCTTTTGTAAGAATCTTGAGTCTATGGTTAGACTGTTCAACACTTTGAACTTTTCATTCATTTTGAAACCAGAAATTATCCGACGACTCACTTGGTTGTAATAATTTATTTTAAAGTATTACTCATTTTCAGATAATTTCTATGCGTTGTACATGGTTATTCACTTGGGGTAAATCATCGTCGAAATATTCATGGATTTAGTCATACTCAAGATTAGCAATAAAACTTACGGGATAAGTCAGTTGAACAATAATTCATGAATCAAACGCACAAGCCAGTTAAGTTGATATCAGCAAATTATTCAAGCACAAATGTTCAGGTTTATCGAAAATTAAAAGAATTTTTGCCTATAAGGGTTCATAGTTTTATTCACTATTTTTCATAAGAATTTCAACTTCAATTTTTATGTTTGGAATTTATTTTCATTCCATTGTTTCACCGCCAAGTTCTTCGCGAGAAGTCTGAGTCATTCGATAAAAAAAAACACAGTTTCATTTTAAACGTACAAAGAAATTTCATCATTGAATTTCATATTTTAAACTATTTCTTTCTCAACTTTTATGATTACTTTAATCGAAATTTGATTTGAATGTACTCAAGTATTCGTTTAATTGAAATTATTTCAAAGTTATTTGTTTGTATTTTTTCGAGAATCAATAGCTTAATCTACGTTAACTTTGTATATCCGTTCAAATAAACAAATTAGAAAGAGGTAACAATTCAACAAGGCATAAATTCTAGAACGAATTCGATAAGCTCCTTATTGTTGATTGAAATGCATTTAAGAAAGATAAATTACAAGCATAAAGTTGATTGAAACGGTCTAAAATGCAAACTCAAAACAACGTCCAATACAATTTTCAATCATAAGTACAAATAGTAGAAATTGCTTATTGTTTTTGAACTATATCTTACAGTGTAAGATTCTTACACAATCCATTTTCTATCAAGTATTCAGAAAATTGAGCATTTTTTATGGAAAATCGAACGCTCAGTAAGTTCTCTATTTTAAACACATTTCATTTCTTCGTCTTCACTTTTGTGGCTTTCATCTTCTTGCTCTTCGGAGGATGGTGAGTAGGAAATGTTCAGAAGTGATTGACCCATGGAAATGTTGTAGCTTGCTTGTTTGAGCGATTTGAAACAGATGAATGCGATGATATAAAATGATACGAAGAGTACTGAAAAGGTAGGAAGGTAAGAAGGAAATAAAAATGAGTTAAAATAAATCGTCATTGATTTCAGTTGAAAGTGTTAAATTGAAACTATTTTAGTTTTTTTCATTGACGAAAAATGTTATTAGAACCAATAAATATTTTTATCATTTATGTCCATTCCAAGTTCAGCTTCAACTGAATCCGGTTTTAAAAGTCTCTAGTTTTTAACTTAAAACTAGTTCTAGTTATAAACTGAACCACATAAGTGGTTCCAATTGGAATCAATTGCGAATTTTATAGAGAAAATTCTTGTTACCTGTTGAGACAACCAAAGCCACATGTTCGAACTCCCACGTTGACACATCGAACAGTGTTTTGTATAGGTCGAAAAAGAGAATGATCATGCAAAAGGAAACCAAGAAGAAGGCAATTTGGACACTCCACCACATCAGACTCGCAAGCATACACTCCTTTACATTCTGTTTGAAAGAAATAAAACAATTTTGACTTGATAAAGTTTTATCTTTTTAATCAATGATTGGTTTGATTAAAATCATTGTTATAATGATATTTATGAATCAAACGATTCACTCACCTCAGAAACTCCATAGAGCCACATTATACAATTTAGCCAATTCAAAACTGTAACACGTTTAAGCAGAGTTAAGATCAATTGCGAATAAATTTCATTAGATTTCTTAATAGAAGAAATTACTTCAAAGCATTCGGTTATTTAGTGCCAATAATCATATAATGAATGAAAAACACTATCAAACAATTTCCTTCAATTGAACGCGTGAGAATAAAAGACTGACGCTAGCAGGTTTTTCGCGAAAGCGGGATAACAATCGGGTGCACGCAAAAGAGACATTTCATCGTGTTGCAACAAACAAAGAAACACCACAATGTTTACGAATATTCGATTCGTGAGTCGCATTTACATGGTAATCGATTGCTACGGCTGTTTGTTTTCGGAACTAAATGAAATGTCTCTTTTCCGTGCGACGGACTCGATGTGAGTGTTTTCAAAACACAGTCGTCACACATTCGTCGCAACAGGGCTGACTAATCCAATCAATTGCTTTCATATTTTATGTTTTGTTTGCCAAGCCAAATTTTTTGTTCAAAGAATACTTACATATTTCAATGAATACTTTTTTACTTCTTTCTGTTACCTAAAAATTAACAATATGATACAAAAATTGATTCCAAAGAAAAAGAGAGGCAATTATGGTAAGTTGAACATGTTTATTTTAATAAGAACAACAGAGCCGCTCGCTTCATTTCTGTTGAAAAACATTGCACACAAACACAAGGGAGTGTTAACACCCAGCTGGTTTGATAGCCTAGAATACAAATCCGGTCGAATTTGGTTGTCCGTGGATTCTCAGGATTTGGCCAGGTTTCAGCACTTCAATTTCTTTGCGTTGTGGTAAAATTCCATACAAAACATAGGGAATATGACTTTACAGATGCACATAAAAAAGGAAGCACTGGAACCTGGTCGAATCCTGAGGATCCATGGATCAGCTGAAATTTCACCGGATTTGTATTCTAGGCCATCAAACCAGCCGGGTGTTTACACTCCCTTTGGGAGTGACATCACGGTCCGTTTTGCCGATTTATCCAGCCGTATTCGAGATATTTCCATGTGTAAATATTTAATAATATTATATTCAATTGCATTGGCCAATATGGAAGACAATCGAGCGCCGGAAACTTATGCTGTTTCGCTCACACCTATGTGCAATTTTTACTCGTATCACAAGCTGTTGTGTTACGAACAACAGAACCGCTCGCTTCGTTCTTCTTGAAAATTTACGCGCAATAAATGTTGCACACATAAACAGGCATATGCACGTTTACAAGCCCGTCTTATGAGCGATTATGAATGAACGTATTGAGAAGAAGTGTCGCCAATGTGTTAATACAAATATAGCACACTCAATATTGTAAGGTACTCACTCAACACTACGTTCATTCATAATCGCTTGTAAAGCGAAACATGTTCAATCGTGTTCGTGATTGGGTTTGTGTGCAATGATTTTCAACAGAAACGAAGCGAGCGGCTCTGTTGTTCTTATTAAAATAAACATGTTCAACTTATCATAATTGCATCTCTTTTTCGACGACTGTGTTTTGAAAATACGCACATCGAGTCCGTCGCACGGAAAAGAGACATTTCATTTAGTTCCGAAAACAAACAGCCGTAGCAATCGATTACCATGTAAATGCGACTCACGAATCGAATATTTGTAAACACTGTGGTGTTTCTTTGTTTGTAGCAACACGATGAAATGTCTCTTTTGCGTGCACCCGATTGTTATCCCGCTTTTGCGAAAAACCTGCTAGCGTCAGTCTTTTATTCTCACGCGTTCAATTGATTTTCAAGCTTTGAACTTTGTTTTCCCAAAGGTCAACTCACCGCACAGGAAAATGGTGACATATTTACAGATTCGCTCTTTAACATTCAGGTACAAAATGAGAATTATATAAATAATCGAAACGATTGTGGACTGTGAGGCTGGTGTGAGTAGAACTTCGTAGATAAGCCATGTGCTTGCTATCAAAGACAACCATCCAATGCATATTCCGGTCGCTTTCCAAATGCTCCTTTTTCTTCGATCGCAACAACAAAATGTTTGAACGACATCCATTTTCAGCTCAGATTTTTTTCGGATTCTACCAGAATATTTCGGGAGACACCACCGTTTTTAATATTAGAGTATTTTCATTGAGCTGAAATATAAAATGCATTTTGGAGTAAGAAAAATCGAAAGGTTTCATTTCTAGTTTATTCATAAAGTTTTATTTCTATTACAAATTTCCTATTTTTGACCGAATGAAACACAGAAAATCGTCGTATGGAACAAAGCATTCACTCAAGGATTCGTTTAAGCGACATAGTTCTTTGTTTCAAAACAAACATCGAAAAATTGTAAACAGTGTATGTGTCACATTGTGCCTTGGTTGTTGTTCATCTGTCTCTTTCGGGCAATGATAACAGTGTTATCAAACCGCTCACATTGATGGCATTGAGCAGAAGTCAAAGCATACTTGCGTGATTCATACATTCACAATGCCAGTAATAATATACAATGTGTAACGTATAGGCTTCACTTTGAGCACTGGAATTTTTCGAAATTTGATTACTAGCGGTCTTTCGAAGAAAAAAAGGGAGTTTCTATCAATTCATAGATTATCATGCAGAGAGTAAATTTTAACGCAGGGACTAATTGTAAATTTTATGACTTATTTCCAAGAATCCATGAATTTATTCAAATAACACATATAGAAATTCATTTTTATTTTAAAATGTAACATTTCGAGGGAATTTTACAGTAACTTTCTTTGGTTTTGCTCTTGTTTTTCTTTAGTTTCATTTCAAACACTTCATCAAACGAAATCGGAGGATGTTCAAACTTGTCAGATCTATGTAGCTTATTATCGGTCAAATTCTGTACAGTCAGTCCAATATCACGTTTGTAACAACTTTCACACGCATTTTTTTTTTCATCCAACTTCGAAAAAGTATTCACGAATGAATTTTTTTCAATCTACTCAACTTTATCACGGAGGACGATAATCCGACAAGACACACTCCATAGACTGTGTATAACATTATTATACTATAAAAAGTCAATATGTCGAAAAAAGACAGTTTTTTTTGCGCCACTGTTTCTCATTTTTCAACTTCACCGAATTTTAATTTTTTCAAATATTCTTTTGAACCTTTCAGAAGATTTTGGAACTTGAAAAAAGTATTTGGAACTGCTATTGAATGTTTTTCACCTTCTTTCAACCACTAACTAACCATCTGTGTGTCATCCTACGGACTTATTGACCGATGTGTTACACACAAACTTCCCAAGTACCACCATCAACATCCGTCATCCAATTGCCAAACACACACAGACTTTCAATGAAACCACTTCCTTACCGAGTTCTTAAATGAAAAGCACGGAATATTTAAGTCGATCAAGTCATTTTTTCCTATTCAACCGCGTTTAAAACACTGTAGACAACTGAATAACAGATACTAGTTCACTTTTGAGCAGTGTATATTGCTAGGTGAATCGTGGAACTGATAATCTGTTCACGGGTTTATCTTATCATTGAATTTTATTTTCAAGCGTAATGAGAAAGTGAAATATTTTGAATGCTCAGAATGTTCAATGGAATTAGAAGCGATAATGAATTGTTGTCGGCATATACGAGCAGCCGTGACGAAATCGCAATTTGATTATCAAACTTTTGGATGAGTTTTAGAGTAGATTCTGTTCCACATAATTCGTAATATATGAGATGAGCAAGTTTCATTCCACTATAAAACAGTTGAAACAAAGAACGTGAGTTTTCGTGGCTCGTAAATTTCCAAAAAATCATCGTTCGTGAATAAATGAATATTTTTAGCGATACTTTCAACAATTTATTTTAAAAAAACATACTCCCCTCTTAACCTCAGTCAAAGTAACGATTCGCGTTTGTGTGATGTATCGCGACTTGTCGTAAAAATGTTTACACAAAATGCAGCCACTTGTAATGGATTGTCGTTATCGATTTAGACCATAAATCACTTTCTAAGCATTGGCCAGGTGTTCAGTTGCACAAAAGCTGAGTCATATAGTTTTGAATGAAGATGATTGATTCGAATTCCTGTATCAATCATTAGGAACATCAATTCATTCATTTATTCAATCATTTCGACTATTTTTAACAATAAAACAATGAAAATCCTTTTTGGTCTTCCATTTTGATCAAATTACTTGATTTTTCTTAAATTTTATAATAATTTATTAGTTGTTTATCCCAAAAAGTTCGAAAAACGTTCAACAAGTCTTGTTTTTTAATCTTTGGTCAATGCTGTTCAATGTTATTAGCTGACGTTACAGTTCCTGATTCGGTATTTCTGTGGGGCTATTCGTAAGGGATTTCCGTTGTAACACATCGACGCGATGATCAACATCGGCGCCTCCCTTCATCGTCTTGACACATATCACAGCAGCCACATAAAAAGTCACAAAAATCCCTGTGAATTGAAAATCAAAAGACAACAAATTGAAATTAAATAACGCACAATAGTAACACTCTTATACTAGTCCATTTTTTACAATTGGAAAATGAAAATTTGTGTAACAAAAACCTTTATTTTTTTAATTTTTGATCCAAAAAAGAAATTGTTACTGTTAACCTGCTCAACATTTGCCAATAAAATAAATAAATAAAATAAAACCTGTTGCTAGACAATGAAGCACAATTGCAAAAACGAAAACAGTAGTGTTATCCGATTGTTTCCATCGTTGGATTATTTCGTTTAAGACACTGGTGCACGTGTACGGAAAGAATATGAAGAGCAAAACAATGGTCCACCAAAAAAGGCTTGCTATCAAGAATGGTCGGTTTTTCTGTTGAAAAGATTTTCGTTTCAGAAATGTACTAGTTCTAAAAATATATTAGATTAGACTCCAACTATTGCCATGGGCAACATTTATTTTACTTTGCAAAAATTCTTCAATGGAAGTAATGGTCTATATGACGAAAAATGTGTGCAAATTTGAACAGAACGCTAAAGTACGATGAAGATTTTGGCGGTGAAATATAACGTATTCGCTCGCACCAATGACAGTTAGTACGTCAACGAGGTATGATAGCTGTTAGTGCGAGCGGGACACCGTCAATATTTTGCAAAAGTCTTGAGCGTTCTTTGAATGTTTCTAAATCGGGACGAATTCGAAAATTATTTACCTTAATAATACCGAAAAACCAGCTGGGCGATGAAAACAAATTGATCACTGTAATGATGATACATTAGCGATTGCTTCTCATTTCGAGTTACAATTCAATTGTAAAGCAGGTTCTCACCACATAGCATCTTGACAATAAACTCTTTAACACACGGACAAGTCTTGAAAATGAACATTGCATATAGGTACTTCATCAGTCCACCAACGTTTGAAGAGATAGGTTCATTTGTACGAAATATTTCATACGCAATCCAAATGCTGCCAGCTAAGGTCGAACTGCCAATGGTAATTGCGACAATCATCCAGAATGGACTGTTCTTCAACTTAAAGCCAAAACATTTGTGAACAATTGTCATATTTACAACCAAAATCGATTGAAATTTATGCAAATGAAGAACACCAAAAATTCAATGATGAAAAGCGATAAATCAACTCGAATGGTTGAAGCCAATACAACATCGAGCGTAAATTATATATATTCGAAGGAAATTTTCTCGACACACAAATATTATTATTTTTAAAATCACAAACAAAATAAACTTTTCTCCAAAAAACGCTATGTTCTTGTTCCAATTGCTTACCAAATACTGTGCCTTGCATCATGCAGTATTGTGCTGAATTCTTTGTGATCAGATAAGATAATATTATCGTGTTATCAATAAAATTGATTATTCAGAAACGGAAAATGTATGATTTTACTTGTCCACACATTGTGATCGTAAATGTCAAAGTGTTGTTTAGTCAAATTGACACATGACATGGGGGGAACAACAAGCGGAAACCAGTAAATGGAGAGAAAGCAAATAATAAAAAAAATTCTTCATAATATGGTTGATATTTGATTTGTTTTAAACGGTAGTCTTTGAAATACTCTTAAATCTATTTTTTAGAAATAAATTCATGCGCTTATTTTGATGTTTTGATTCCGTCCTTCGGTTGTTTTAGGTGACTTGGAATTCGTCATGTGTGTTTCGACCGTTTAAGCTTTGTAAAAGATTGTCGACTTGTAGGAAAGGATGGCAACTACGTAAAACCACACCGATATCCCTGGAAATGAAAAATAAATATGAATCACACGTGAATATTTTCGCCTTTTTCACACTGACGGTACGTTTATGGAATGACACACAAAAACAGCCAGGGCATACTAACTACACACGATACAAATCGATTTCTACCACATTGTATCCAGCTGGTGGTGTGCTCAGTTTGTTTTTGTGTGAGATAGCTCAGTGTTGGTGTTAATCATTCATTGTTTTATATGAAAAATGAAACTTTTTATAAATACCTGTTGCTAAAGCCAAGTAAATAGTTGGAAAAAGTGAAGAATACTTCAATAAAAGGAGGAAATGGCAAAATAAGGCGGTCGTGTAAAATAGAAGACCCACTAACATCAGTTCATTTATATTCTGTTCAGAAAAAAATCGAAATTTCGTTCAGAAGAAATCATTTTGCGTAAAAAAAAAAGGTCATTATTTTTTGAGGTGACCGAAAAATGTACAGTTTTGAGACCAAGGTGAAGAAAGAGAAAATTATTTTAGTTAAAATAGTTAAGCTCAAAAACTTCAAATCACGACTGAGGTTTTGCCTCATATTTGGATATGTCAAATTTCGACACTTTCTTACTAGCTGTTGACATATCTCGTTGACGCGTTAGCTGTGATTAATGTCATGTTCAAAGGATGTTCTTTCTTGACCAAGATTTCATTTACCTTCGCTAATCCATATATCCAACTGAGATTCGCCACAATAAACGCTCCTGAAATATCATCGAATGAACCGATAAAGTAGGAAAAAGTACAACTTCAGTTCTAAAATATTCTTATTTGGCTGAATTTGTACTTTTTCTAGCTTAAATGCAAGATTATTAAAAGAATTTCAAAAATTTTCTCTAAAACTTACCGCACACGATTCTCAATTTGAATGGATTTTCGAAGAAGGTTTGTGATTCAGATTTCGGCATTAAAAAACATTTAACAAGAAAACAAACACTCGCCACCAAAGCTAAAGTGCCAACCAATTGGCCGTTGATCTTCCAAAATCGGTTATTTTTCAAACTCCCGTCAAAACCACAACAAAATTTAACTTTCATCTTCTTAATTGATTCAAAATTATAAACTGAATTGAGCCAAATTAATGAAATTAGTTTCAATTTTTTTTTGATTTACTTGGACTATATTAGTTTTTTGGATTTTGAATTCAACTTGTCTTTGAAAAATGCTCAAAATGTGATCAAAAACCTTCTTCAGTACATCGAAATCACAAATGAATCAAATTTGGCGCAAAATCGTTAAAATCTCGTGCGCCAAATTTCTATATTTTTTTATCATTTGCAATGACTGCGTCATCAATATATGTCACTCATCGACCAATCTGAATAGAAATTGATAGCACTTATCGAAGATTGTATCTAAAATAAAGGCTTTTGTGTTGAAAAACTTTAACAATCAATGTTGTTCGTGAAGAAATTCTTTCAGATTTTCTTAATCGCACATTGACAAGCTGTCATTTTTGGCAATTCTTTCAATTTGATACAAAGCAAATGAAGAAGAAGTGTTCTTATAAAAGGAGTGACTTATAAAACAACGTACAGCCAAAACAAAGGGTTTTTCAATTGAGAAGAA